CACAACGAACGAAATGTCTGAATGTTGGACGAGAATTTGTCCCGTCCTTTTTAAGGCCATAGTTGGCGGGGAGGAGGTAAGTTAAGCACTGTGTGGAAAGTCACAGCAGAATTTGAGGTGATCGGGTTTCTGAGATAACTTGACCTCGAATAGGAGTGGGGACAGGAGGCATTAAACTTCCGTTCGCATAGTGCAGCGACCATCATGAATGTCATCAAGAGTGCATTTGATTGCGACGGGGCAGGTATCTGCTTCTATGGCAACACAGACAGCTTCCACAAGCAATCTTCCTCGGCAATAGTCGACAACATTTTATAAATATAGTTTTTTTGAGGATGATCGACTGTGGGACAATATTCAAGTATGGAGGAGCAAAAGAGGGAAAGTGAACATTCTAACGGCTCAAATAAGCGCCAGTGCAAATCAAGCCTGTACCAATGGAATCTCACGGTGGGCGTTACAGATGACAGCACGGGTAGAATCAGTTTCCACTACTGGATCAAGCGCCGTTGGCAATCCTATTTCGCTTTCTCATTATTCTGAAAAAATCATTGCAGGCGGTTAGAGTTGCAGAGTCCGCAGTCTAGGGGTTGACTTATGGCAGATGGCGTAGCTATGAAAGTCGTAATTAGAAGCGTGTAGGATGCATGTTGCAAGCCCAAACAGACTTCGTGCTGAAGCTGACAATTGACCCAAAACCAGTATATGCAAGTTTGCTTATCCGTTAAGAGTTTTTAATTGCCAGCAGCTTTTAATCGAGAGTAAAAAAGGACAAACAGAATAGCGGCTAATGTCCAATCATTCTGATGAGAACAATTCAAGTAAGGTCTGAAGGCAATGCACTCCCGCGAGGAATGAGAATTCAACGTTAAAAAAGGCTACGCTACTTTTCAGAATTAGGAAGGGAAAAGGAGAGGCCTCCTCAGCAACTCCTAGGGACATGAAAATGCAAAAAGGTTGCATCGAAAATCTAACTCAATTCTCCGAAAAAAGCATAGCAAACGCAGACTTTGTAACTGGGCTGTGACACTCGCCCCCTACTCTAGGCATAATCACCTCCATGACAGCGAAAGAGGAATTGCGACAGGGC